CCAAGGCCCGAGGCTGGCCGCACCCAGGCCACTTCTCTTCCAGCCCCCGGGGGCACATCTGGGCTCTTTGTCTCCTGTAGAGGAGAGCGTCCTTGCCTGTTTCCAGCTGGCCTATGCTGTGCTCCCCATTCCTGCCGTTCCTCCAGGTGTCTGGCTTTTTCGGAGCTCAGGGTGAGGACGGAAGTTGCTTCCAAGGGGAGAGCAGGGCAGGGTAGTGCGGAGAGAAGGGCCACTGTTGGGTGGCCGACGAGATGCCTCCTAGAGAGGTATCCACTGGGATACAGACAGGTGCGTCCCCCCTGCACCACCCCCAGGTGTTCCTGCACGAAGCCACTGTGCGCCTGATGGCGGGAGCCAGCCCCACCCGCACGCACCAGCTGCTGGAGCACAGTCTACGCCGCCGGACCGCCCAGAATACCAAGCACGGTGAGTCTATCTGCGCCCCAGCTCCGGGCCTGGTGTGGACCCTGCCTGAGCAGGGGAGGGGAGGGGAGGGGAGGGGAGGAGGGCCCCAGCCCGCCACTCACCCTGGCAGAACGCCGGTGGCTGTCCTCACCTGCGCTGTCCTCAGAGGTGGCGTGAGAATAGCAGCGGCCCGAGGCTGGTCCTCTGAGTTGCGGGGGAGGATCCATGACCACGCTGTGGGGCTGGGGTTTGGTTGGGTTGTGGCTCCAGCCTCAGGAGTGAGGATGGGAGGCCTGGGGATTCTGGGAGGGCTGGGGATGCTGTCCCGGCCCCAGCACTGCCTCACTGGCTGGCTCTGAGTTTCAATAAACGAGTCCAGGGCGAGCCCTTGGAACAGCTCGGCGAGCGGCTCCTCCACGCGTGTCCTCATCGTTCCTGCAGGAGAGGTGGACGCCTGGCCCGGCCAGCGAGAGCGGGCCACCGCCATCCTGCTGGCCTGCCGCCACCTTCCCCTGTCCTTCCTCTCCTCCCCGGGCCAGCGGGCCGTGCTGCTGGCCGAGGCAGCCCGCACCCTGGAGAAGGCGGGCGACCGGCGCTCACGCAACGACTGCCAGCAGATGATTGTCAAGTTGGGGGGCGGCACTGCCATCGCCGCCTCCTGACCCCTGGGTTCTGCCCACCTCAGCCCCTGCCTCCCGCCCCCCTCCTCCCTCTGTCTCTCAGTCTCTCTCCCTCCTCCCTGTCTCTCGATCTCTCTGCTCCCTCTGGGAGTTGTGGGATGAGCCTTGTCTTCTGAGCTGTTGCCTGCGGAGGCTTGTGGACCACCTCAGCCCGGTAGGCCCCTGGGCAGAGCCCCAAAAGCTGCTGTAGACAGATGCACGTGGTCCAGGGCCCCATGGGTCTGAGAGAGGAAAGAGCAGGGCAGGAATTGGGGGGGAGTTTCCTGACTTAAAAGTGGCAGGGGGCTCCCAAGCTGCCTGGTCCCTGCCTCCAGCCCTCAGCCCTCCCCAGCTTTTCTCTCCTCCAGACACCACCCCCCCTTTCCTGCTTTCTTGTTTTTTATCAGGCTTTCCCTGTGGGGGACATAGGTCTCTGGGCACCAAAGCGCCTCACTCTTGGCACTGTGCCCAGCGTGCCTCTTTCCCCCTTTTTATACAGATGTTTTTATATCCGTGTGCTTGGGTTTGCCGTGATGCAGGGCTGAGTTGCTGTGGCATCTTTATTTCTCTCCTTGGGTCTGTGTCCCCTCCCCTGTGCCTGACAAAGCCAGTTCATTGTTTTCTCTTCATTACACAGGACAGCCAGGGTAGGAGGGAAGCCCAGCTCTGGGGAGGCAAGTGGGAGGCAGGGGGCAGGCCTGGGGTTGGATGAAATAATGTCGGCATTATTTTTTAATTTTTTAAAAAATAAACGGTATCTTATTTAATTGTCCTGTTCCTTCCCACTCCCCCGCCCCCTGGGATGCCAGCGCAAGCTCAGGGTAGGCCCAGGGGGCTGGGAGAGATGAAGCCACCCATTGGGACTGGGGACCAGGGGCCTTCCTTCAGTGTGGGTTCTCAATTCCCTCCCACCCCAACTCCTACCTCCACAGTCTATTTTTATCCCGAATTCTTGACCTGAAAATAAGCCAGGGTGGCAGGGACCAACCCCCAGTCTCTCCCCAGTGACAATCCCCTTTTCGGGGTAAACACTAGGAATAAAGGCCCCTGCCTCAATGAGGGTCCTTGGAGGAAAAGTGGTCCCACTTTTCTGGATCCCCGGGCTTGGTGCCCAGCCCCTGAGGCCATTTCTCCCAGGACCTGAGGACTGCCTGAGACCTCAGAACCTTCCGGGAGGCTGAGAGGGGCTGCCTTCCCTCCCTTCCTGCCTGTGTTCCTCACCCCTCAGGCCAGTTGAGGTAGAGAATGGGCGGGGGCTCCCCCCGATGCCGAGGACAGGCTAGAGTGGCTCAGCTTGGACCTTACCCACGTTCTTTCCCTGCTGCCCCTCCCCCCACACACTGTAAGTCGTGGCCCCTGCCCACCAGGCGAGCCAGCCCTTGTGTCATGTGTATATACCGTGCCTTTTCTCATTATTGTTTAGGGGTGGGAGGGGGTAGTTTTTCGCTGAAAGGGGGATACACCTATGGCTTCCTTGATATGGAATCGTTCACTGTGTCCTGGATGTAGGTTATTCAATAAACAGATTGGTACCACCCAGCATGAGGCGTGTGAGGGTCTGTAGTGTGACCGCCGTGGTGATTCAGCCAGGTGGCTGCAAGGCTTGGCCTCTGGTGGGTCCGGGACTGAGGACAGCCCCTCCTTCTCTGCTGAGAGGCTCCTGGAAGGTTTCATTTGGAAGGACCTTCCTCGACCATCCACCCGCTTCCTTACAACGCCGGCTGCTGGTGCGCACTCCTGGGCTGGAACAGAGTCTGGGATAAAAGGGCAGCCAGAGGTGCTGCTTGGGTCAGAGGCCACTGTATCCAGGACACAGCTGGCCACTCACAGCAGCGGCTGTTTCAGATTTGGGGTGCCAAGCCCATGCGTGTTCACCCCTCAGAGAGAAATCTGTCCGCTACTGGCTGTATCCCCATCCCCCCCTGAGGGCTCACTGCCCACAAGTCACATCCAGGTCCAGCTCCTGTACCCAGCTGGTCGCCTGGGGCAGGACATCACCTCTGTCTGCCTCCTCTTCCACGTGTGCCCCACAGGGATGACAGTCCCTGCCTTTAAGTGCCCATAGACGTGTTGGCCAGTTTCAGTGACATGACACACACAAAGTTCCATGTACAGTTAAGTGCCTTATGAGGCTGGCGAGAGGCAAGACCATGAGGAGCAGCAGTGGGCTGGAAGCGGAGGAGTCCGGAGTGACCTGGGGATGAGCATGGAGCATGGAGAGCAAGGTCAGTGACCTGGCCTGGCTGAGAAATAAGTCTTCTCCGAAGGGCAGTCCTGGGATGGAGATCTAGGGTCCTGGGGACTGCGAATGAGCAAGGGGTTGCACCCACCTCCCAACAAAGCCCCGTCAAGGCCTGTGTCACCAGGGTGGGTGGCTGTGAGTGGCTGATGACCCAGGAACCTGATCTTTCGAGTCTTGGCAGGATCCATGACTCAGCACCCACCCCCCTTCCACCTCCCTCTACGCAGCTGCCAGATAGGCCCCGGGGCACCGTACCCCCAGTTGAGGGTATGAGGGCTCTCTCCCCTAAAGCCACTGGGCCCTCACTGCAGGCAGGACCGTAGACTCTTGACTCTCTTCTGTCCTGGGGCTTCTGAGCCTTGGTTTCCTCAAAAGCCAGAAGAGCTAGTGAGGCGGGCCCTGTCACAGGTGAGAGCTGGGGGTTGGGGGGCCTCAGGGCGGCCCCGCGCGGCAGGAGGAAGATCTGAGACCATGAGCCTCCGGAGCAGAGCCCCTCCCTGCCAGCACACACGTTCATACCTTTCCTCTTCCCCACAGTGCCCTGCCTGCCGCTCATCAGG